CCAGACCCCATTCCTCACGGGCAGCACAGAAGGAAGCAGTTGGCTCTGTCTGTCAGTGGAGCTGCCTGTGCTTGTGGATCTGGTTTCCAGGCCTAAGGTCTAGCCCAGGGTGGCAGCCCCCTCGGCTCCCAGCGCTAGGCCAGAGTGGCCTGGCACGGTGGCAGGAATTTGCCGAGGGTGTGAATCTGTTGGAGCCTGGTTTTGGCTCTTCCTGACTGGGTGGCCTCCTGCTGTCCTCAGAGCCCTTGTGCTCTGGAAGGTGGGTCCAACATGGGGCCTCCCAGTGGTGCTGGTCCCGAGGGCACTGAGGGCCAGGGCAAGGAGGACCCACTGGATCCAGTGCCCTGGGGAGACACTCGTGGGTACAGGGACCCAGTGCATGAGTCCCAGGGGTCCAGTGAGCCCCACCCCTGCCACCATGGGACACTGCCCTGTTGGCGTCAGTGGCTGTGAGATGGGCGAGCAGCACAGGCAGGGAGTCACGGCTGCCCCAGGTCTCGCTGAGATGGGCACCCAGCCTTCCTGCCACCTTTGCCCACCGTGCTGCCCGTCCTTTGGTGCCTTTAGCACCCTCTCCAGCTAGTCTCCTTGGTGTGCCTGGCACCCTCCCTGTCCGCCGGGGTTTGTGGTCCCTGTGGAGCTGGGCCAGCCCTCCCTGACAGGTTCTTGCTTGGTTCTCCTGGAAGGAGTCGCCTTTCTGCCTCGGCCCAAGAAGGGCTTCCTGTTCCAGACCAGGTGAGGCTAGAAAGGCCAATGTTGGTCAGCTGCTCGCTGCCCAGCCTGAAGCAGGACCTGGTGTCGGGGAAGCACCCCTCCTTGCCCTCTGGGGAGCCTGGCTGCAGTGCTGTTGGGGTCCCTGTAGGCGGCTTGATGGGCACCACAGCTACTGCCCATCTTTTTGGGTGTTTCCCATGATGTCCCCTCCCCTGGCTGCCCCACCCCTCTGGGCTGGCTAAGCCTTTGGGGCTGGGTGTCACTTATCCTTTAGGTCCCCTGCACTTTGTGGAGGAGGACATCAGGAAAGGGGAGGGTTGAGGGTGGCCTGCCCAAAGCCACCGTCGGGGATCTAGGTCTGTGCTCTGTCCTATATGGTCTGGCCTCCCTGGTCCTCTCCTGCAGCCCCTGCTGTGGTGGCAGTGTCTGTGGCGGTAGGCACGTGCTGTCGGCACACTCGGAGGCTGTGTAGGTGCTGCCCAGGGGCCTTCCCCAAGTTCAAAGACTTGTGGTTTATACCAGCTCTGCCCTGGGTGCTTTTGGAGCTGCAGCTAAAGGCAGCTGACTTTCACCTCCCTGTACACATGCCCTGACCTTTGCCTCTGCTGGGCCTAGCGGGCAGCCTCAGGGGCCTGGGCTCCTCTGTTGGCTGGCAAGCCGGGCAGTGGGCCTCAGGAAGGGTCGCAGGCTCTGTTTCTGGCTCTGAGGCGGCTCCCTGCACACCCCACTGAACCTGGCCAGAGCGGGGTTTGAGAGAGTGGCAGGATCATCTCTGGCCTCCCGAGTCACTTACTCCTGGGGGGACTGGCGGGGTGTGGCCGGATGCCCGCTGCAGTAGAGTGCTATCTGGGGTCCAGTGGTGCGCAGAAGGCCAGGAGAGCTGGCCACCACCTGTCCACTGCTGGAGGAGGTGTGAATGGGGGCCATGGTGGAGGCCACTGCCCTGGTTGTTGCACTTCGCCTCGCCTACCCCGGGAGGAGCAAACATACCCCCATTCCCACGGGCGGGTGGGGTGCGCTGCGCTGGAGACCTGCGGCTCACAGGTATGGACTTTGCATCTGGACTTGCAGCCCCGTCCCATCCACCTACCTGAGTCCATCTCACCCTCCTGGGCTTCTCAGAGGGAGCAAGGTCACCTGGGCACGGCTGGGCATGTGGGCCCAGCACAAGCCACGGGTGCAGCTGTGAGCACCGTGGGGGTGCCAACCCCCGCGCTTCCCTCTCCCCTGGCAGTGGGCTCCAGGCCGGCTTGCCTACAGGACTGTCGAGGATGCTTGTGTAAAGGACACCTCAGTCTTCAGCTGCGATTCCAGGAGGTGGCCAGGTGTTCAGGCCACGTATGCACTAGGCACCAGCAAACAGGCTGGACCACCCACACCCCGGTGTTCCTCATGACTGCTACACCGAGGCACCACTCGAGTCTGGAGGTGGGCTGCAAGTCCAGACCCAAGAAGCTCACACCTGTGAGCCGCAGGCAGCCTGCCTGCCTGGGATGGGTTTCCCTGCAGGACCCTGCTTTATTTGAGGTGGGTGTGAAGGAGGGGCACCCCCCGCTGGTGGAATGCCCTGTGTGCCTTTGACCTTCTAAAATCTGGAAGGTTGACAGTGGCCTCTGGAGGCCCAGGTGGGGCCAGGGCCTTTGAGTCGGGCAGTGTGGGGATGGACCCGTGAAGGTGAGGGGCTGGTTCCCCGACCCTGCTGCTGGGTGCCCTGTTTCTGAAGCCAGGAGAGGGGCAGGCCATGCTTGCTTGGGGCAAACGTGTGCCAGACAAGTGTGAATTACGTGCACCCCTGGTGACTGAGTCCTCCCCCTTGCGAGCTGGGAATGCTCCTGTCTTCTGCCCCAAGCCCACTGTCCCCTTGCCCTAGCACCCTCCTGCAGGAGGGGAGCAGTGGCCCTGAGGCTCCCACTTCTCCCTCTCTGGCAGTGACGTGGGCCGCTTGCTGAGGGCCAACTCTGCCACCGAGTGCTCAAGACCTGCGTTGTCTTCCTTCGCTTTGTTTCCCTTTGCAGTGCTGAAGTTTGAGCGCAGGGATCTCTACTCCTGAGCTGCAACCCAGGCCTTTTTAAATTTTGAGACAAGCTCTCTGCTTGGGGTTGCAGCCCTCCTGCCTCAGCCTTCCCGGTAGCTGGGATCACAGGTGTGCACCACCACGCCCAGCTGCTCTGTTTCCTTAACGGATGAGACTAGGGGGCTGAGCAGCCTGGCCAGTGATGGGTGGGTCACTGTCTTGGTGCTGCATCCTTCTCTATGGCTGTGTCCTAAACTGTTCTGTATCCATGTTCACCAGCTTCCCGGGTCCTCTTGTCCTGGGGTCACCTGTCGTTCAGGGGCCCCAGGATGGGGAGATACAAGGTCCTCTGTCTCCCGGGCTGTGACATCTTTAGTCCCCTAGAGATAGAGCAGGAAGGGCAAGGCCTTTCGTTTTCTTCAGACAGGGTCTTGCTGCACAGTCCAAGCTGGCCTTGAACTTGTGATGATCTTCTGTCTCAGCCTCCTGAGTGCTGGGAAAACAGGCATGCACCACCATGCCCGGCTGTGGCTTCTGACCTTGTCCTCAGCGTCTGGGCGTCTTGCTGGTCCCTGCTGTGCAGGTGGCCAGCATGCCTGGCTGTTACGCTGTCACTGGGAAGGTCCTGGGCTGCTGCGTCCTGGGTGTCCATTAGTTGCTGGCTCTGTTGCATTATGCTTTCTGGAAGTGTCCCTTGCTTCTGTCACCTCTGTTCTGTCTCTCTTTACCCTGTTCCTCTTGTTGCCTGTGTGTGGCATTTCGTGGGACTTGACCTCGTCAGTTGAGGAAGGCAGAGCCCCGGGGTCTCCCTGGAACCCCTCTCCTGAACCCCCTTGGCAGGGGTCTCTGGTTTCCTGGGCCTGGCCCCCAGCCGCTCCTGGAGCTGCTTGTCCCCCAGCTTGGTCTCTGGCCATGTCCGCTCCCTGGGCTGTGCAGCAGGGGCTCTGGCCACGGGCCCTAGTCGCAGTCCCCTCAGAGCCCTGTGGGAAGGTAGAGGCGTAGAGCAGGGTGCAGGCTGCTTGGGGGCCAGCAGGATCCCAGGCCACTGCCTGATCTTAGGGAGGGGGAGCCTGCTGGCCCTGGGCCTGATTGTCAACAGGGTCCTCGGAGAGGTTGTGGTGCTGGGGCAGGGGCTTCCTGGTGGCCTGGCCTCGCACCCAGTGGAGATGCAGCCCGTGGCATCCAGCACGAACTGGAGTGGCCTCCTTCCCCTCCAGCTGCTGTCGCGGGCCCTGCACACCTGCCTGGGGAGGGCACCTGGAGTTGGCTGGCTGGGTGAGAGGCCTGTTTAGGAGCGCTCCTGGGTGATGGGTCTGGGGGAGACACAGCTGATAACAGGGCATGGGGAAGCTGTGAATCTGCTAGGAGTGGGTGCGGTACCCAGCACCCAGCTGGGGTGGCATGCTAGGTCTGTGGTGTCGGCACGCACCCCAGCCGCTGTTGCGGCCGTGCTGGTTGGCTCTCACCAGTCTTAAAGATGACTGGTCCAGCAATGGGTAGCAGCCAGCTCCTTGGGGTACAGCCCCGATTGTCAGGGTGCTGCAGACACAATACAAGGAGACCTAAATGGCAGCACAGGTCTTGTGTGAAGCTCAAGTCCTGGTCCCCAGGAGGGCCTGTGTGCGGCACGGAGTCTGTCCCTGCCTCCACTGTAGGAGCGGGGGTGCATCATACACGGCCCTGGCAGCCGCCTCCTTGGGGAGCCCAGGGTCTGGCTGAGCTCTGTGGGCAGTGTGCAGGCTCCAGGCCTCGGGGCTGCAACAGCCACTCGCCCTGCATGGATTCCTGGGCAGCCCCAGTCCCCAGAGCGTCTGGGAGACAGTCTAGGACGTGAGCACAGATGCAGGATGACTGCAGGGCCCGTGCTGCCCTCTCTGGCCATCCTGATTGGTCAGGGCCTGCATGTCACAGCTGGCTGCCATCACAAACCCTAGCCATTCTCCTGGTTACTGTAGAACCTTGTGTGGTGCACGGTGTCGGGTAAGGGCCCACGGACGTTGGGCTTGTGCTGGTTCTTCCCATCTGGTGGATCTCTTAGTTCTGTGTGTGTGCGTTGTTCAAGGCTGGGCTTAGCAGAGTGTCCTAGGAACATGCTGGACTCCCACGAGTGGGTGACACTGAGCAGTGGGCTGTGCCTGGATTGTCCCCCATCTAGTTCACCAGTGGTTGGAGAGTTGCTTGGTGGAGTGCCCTGTGGGACTGGGCAGTATCCTCACCAGTGTCCCCAGGTGGACTCCAGGCTGATGGTCCCCTTCTACCCATCTCCCTGTAGGTGGTGCCTGATTAGGCCCAGAGATGGGAGCCCGAGCCTCCTCAGGGAGCACGGAAGACGCCAGGGCCTCTGTGCACTGGGGCAGTGACGGCCAGTGAGCAGTTGCCGGAGGATGTCCGCCACCACGGCAGCCGCCCCTGCGGGCATCCCCGCCGCTCCGGGCCCCGTGAACCCGCCCCCACCTGAGGTGTCCAACGCTGGCAAGCCCGGCCGGAAGACCAACCAGCTGCAGTACATGCAGAACGTGGTGGTGAAGACACTGTGGAAGCACCAGTTTGCCTGGCCCTTTTACCAGCCTGTGGACGCCATCAAGCTGAACCTGCCTGTGAGTGGTGGCCCTGCATCCTGAGCCTGTTTGGGGAGCCTGCAGTCCAGTGGGGCCAGTCAGGGATGGCAGTGCAGGAACGGGAAATGGGGCCAGCACCCAGCCAGGAGGGTGAGGGGGCAAGGAGCGAGGCAGGGGCTGGCATGGAGGCCTGTTCGACTCCTGGAGCAGAGGCCCGCCCGCCTGCCTGCATGCCTCTGCAGTCAGGTAGCAAGCCCCTGATGCCTGTTTTCTGGGTGCTGGTGCCCACAACTATGCCAGGTTTTGATCTGGGGCCAGCCCAGTGTGGCTCTTGGCTCCCTGTGGGCGTAGAGCCGTAGAGCAGCTGAGTCTGCCCCGGTCAGGACCCCATCCTCAGCTGGCTCCTAGGTGTCCTGGTGCTGCTCCGGGAGGCACGATGACGGCGTAAGTCCACTGGTAACGCCTCTGCAATCTCCTTCCTAGGATTACCATAAAATAATAAAAAACCCAATGGATATGGGGACTATTAAGAAGAGACTAGAAAATAACTATTACTGGAGCGCAAGTGAATGTATGCAGGACTTCAACACCATGTTTACAAACTGTTATATTTATAACAAGGTAAGAAGATGCAAGGTGCGTGGCTGGGTCCCTGGGTGGCCAGGCTGGGGCCCGGTGGGTCAGCGTGAACCACTCCTGGCTCTTGGCCTTCCCTGGTCCTGGTTCATGGAGCAGCGTGCTGCCTAAACGGGTGGCTAGACGTGTGACCCTGGGGATGGCCCATGGGTTTTAAGATGTCCTTACCCGAGGCCTCGAAAGGCCTCCCTTAGCCATCTGTGGCACCCGTGCCAGGTGAGCGCGCCACTTGCCCAGGAAGGTGCCCAGGCCACAGGGACAGCCTCCTGAGCCAGCACCTGCGGGGGTGCCCAGCACAAAGTAGAGAAGGGAGTTTGGTGCCAGCCTAGTTTTGTGGAGTGTTTCTGAGACAGGGTCCTACTATGTGCTCCGGGGTGGCCTCAGACTCATGGCAATCCTTCTGCCCGGCTTCTACTTGCTGGATGGCAAGCTTGGGATGTTGTGGTAGTGACGTGACCTAACAAGGATGATGGGCACGTTGGGCCTAAGGGAGCCCCTTCCTCCCTGTGTGATGGGCTGCAGGGTGGGCTTCTCCTGATAGGACAAGCACCTTCACACATGCTCTGCACTCGTGGGTCCCATGGCCCCTGCTTTTCTCGCTGATGCTTGCCTGTCTTTTCCCAGGATTTCCCCCATTGAAATGTATCTGCCTTGCCCCACTCTGCCCTGTCAGGCCTAACAAATTGTGAGCAAGAGCTTCCTTCAGCTGAGACAGGGTTTGCTGGCGTGAGTCTCCTTCCCATGAGTGACCCGGGCTCTCTGTCTTCAGCCCACAGATGACATAGTGCTAATGGCCCAGGCCTTAGAGAAAATTTTTCTGCAGAAAGTGGCCCAGATGCCCCAGGAGGAAGTAGAATTGTTACCCCCTGCTCCGAAGGGCAAAGGCCGGAAACCGGCTGCGGGGACGCAGAGTGCAGGTAAAGGGCAGGTGCGGTGGGCAGGGTGGCCGGGGGCAGAGTCCCTGGCCCTCCGGGCTGTGTCCCAGGGCGTTGGGTGCCAGGCCAGGCCTGCACGTGGGCTGTGGACTGCTGGCGAGGCAGCTGGCCTGGGGTCAGGCCAGTGTCCTTGCTACTGGCTCGTCTTCCTGTCTTCCTCTTCCAAATCGTCCTTCTAGTTTGTTTTTGGTCACCTGAGAGTCCCAGTCCCCTGTCCTACCCCCTGATTGAAAGGACTGTGTCCTCTCTGTCCCTGTCATGGGGTACGCCTGGCTCTGGCCTAGAGTGGGAACGTAGACTGGAGGTGCAGCCAGTAGAATGGCTGCCAGGGCAGGTGTGGGGACAAGCCACGTGGTTAGGAAGCCAGGTGCTCAGCTGATACTGGTGGCGTCTGAGCCCAGCTCCCTGCCCGCAGGGCTGCCGTGGCCCCAGGCTGTGAGGCTGGCCATGGGCTCTTTTCCTAGCCGCTGGGCTCTGGCCAGAGCTGGCCTCTCCTTGGGGCAGGGAGCGTTTGGCCAAGGTGTCTGAACCAGCTCTACCCCCAGTGCAGGGGCAGGAAGGGTCTTGGGCAGGCGCTTCGCTGGCTATAGGAGAGGGATTCTAGATGCTTCCAGAGGTGGAGATAGGACTGCCGCGCTGAGCTCCCTGTCTGTCCTGAAGGTGCACAGCAAGTGGCGGCCGTGTCCTCGGTGTCCCCAGCGGCCCCCTTCCAGAATGTGCCCCCCACAGTCTCCCAGACACCAGTCATCGCCGCCACCCCTGTACCAACCATCACCGCCAGCATCACGTCGGTCCCCATCCCTCCGGCTGCTGCTCCACCTCCTCCCACAACACCTGTTGTCCCTGTGGTCCCTCCCACGCCACCCGTCGTGAAGGTGAGCATCCTTGAGACTCAGGTGGCCTTCTGGCGCGAAAGGGGTCCACGTGCCACAGGGTTTCTGAGTTGGACAGGATCAGGGTGGCTTGGAGAGGCTCTGTGCAGACGGGGAGACTGAGGCTTAGGCTGGAGGTCACACAGCTGGTGAGGGCTGGGCTGGACTCGAAGCCCTGCTTCTCTGGCCTGGCAGCTCTGGTTTTTCCAGGCAGGGTAGGAAGGTATGGGACAGCAGTATGGCCAGCAAGGACAGGTCTCCCCAGGGGCACAACGGCCAGCACTACCAGCTGGTGTGGTCCGGACTGCTGTCACTGTGGTCCTCGAGCTCCCCACGTGGACCTGCCGTGGAGTGAGCGCCCCCCGAAGGTTGGGGCGGTGGAGCCTCCGGAGCCTCCCACGCCCGTGGAGGGCGCTCACGCCTGTCATCTTCTCCAATTTAATCCCCACAGCCACCCACTGGGGCAGACAGTAGTCCCCTCTTACAGATGAGGAAGCGGGCGCTCAGGGTTAGATGGCTCGCCCAAGGTAAAGATGCCGACCCCGTTGCTCCCCCTCCCGTGGCCTTCACTGCCTGCACCTCGGGTGGCACCTGGCCAGGCCCCTCCCACAGCACGGGGCGGTTTCTGAAGCATGTCCCGTTTGCCACGGCCGGATGAGTCTGCCCTCCCTCCCGGCCCTCCGCGGCACGCGCTTGGTGCTTGGCCTCCTGTGGGCTCCCGGGAGGCATCTGGGTGGCCAGCTCGTGCCCGTGCCAGCCTGAGGGTGGCAACTTGGCTGGGGCAGTGACCTAAGTGGGCTCCAGACAGTAGCTCCTGGGTACTGTTGGCCTGGCCCGGCAGCTGGGGGTGCGAGAGAGGCCTGCTGCACTGGGTCAGGGCAGGGGTCCCTGCAGGCCCCTGGGGGACACAAGCCTGGGCCCCTGGGCGTGGGAGCTGCTCCAGCTCTGTCTGCCGCAGGGCACCACGGACAGCTGGGCAGTACCTCATTTAACTGCCTGCAGGACAGAGTGGACACTGCCACCCCAAAGCCCCCAGGGTCCCTCGGCCTCGACCCGCTGTGGCTGCTCCGTGTCTCCTGGCCGGGCTGCCCTGCGCGCCCAGCCGGGAGTGCTCCTTTACTGTCCTGCCCCGCTGTTCCTGTGCTGGGTCTGGTGGGGCTTCTCCTGGCTCTTCCCTGCTGTCTTTAGAAGCAGGTCTTCCCTGCCGTTGCAGCCCGGGAGCTGGCGAGGGTCGGTGGTGTGGTGCACACAGCTCCAGAGGGCTCCCAGGCCTGGTGCATGGCCCGCCCTGCCCACCGTGTGCTCAGCCTGACGAGAGGCCCTAGGCTGGGTGAGGGCGGGCACAGAGGCCCAGCCTCATCCCTGCCAGCTGTGTGACCTGGGGCCACCAGCCTCACCCCTGAGCCTTGGGGGTCCTGCGTTCGGTGGGGACAGCTGGAGGCTGAGGCAAGACCCTGCATGTGGTCTTAGCACAGCCCTGGGCCAGTGGCTGGAGGCCTGGCTGGCAACGCCTGCAGTCCCGAGCTCCGGCGCTCATTGGTCGTTTTGCTGTTGCAGAAGAAGGGCGTGAAGCGGAAAGCAGACACCACAACGCCCACGACCTCTGCCATCACCGCCAGCCGGAGCGAGTCGCCCCCGCCTTTGTCGGACCCCAAGCAGGCCAAGGTGGTGGCCCGGCGGGAGAGTGGGGGCCGTCCCATCAAGCCCCCCAAGAAGGACCTGGAGGATGGCGAGGTGCCACAGCACGCAGGCAAGAAGGGCAAACTGTCCGAGCACCTGCGGCACTGTGACAGCATTCTCAGGGAGATGCTGTCCAAGAAGCACGCCGCCTACGCCTGGCCCTTCTACAAGCCTGTGGACGCCGAGGCGCTGGAGCTGCACGACTACCACGACATCATCAAGCACCCCATGGACCTCAGCACTGTCAAGGTACGAGTGGGGTGCTGGGCTGGGCCGCCTGGCGTGAGCCCTGCTCTGTCCAGGCCACGTGATCCTGCTTCTTCCTTTTTTGTCCACGGTGCTGTGTGACCAGCAGGAGCCTGGGCTGTGGCCCACTCTTGGGACTGGCACAGGTTGGCGAATCTGAGGTGCCCCCGGCCAGATGCCCCTCAAAGCGGCAGCATTGCTGTCTTCCAGCAGTTAAGGCTGGGGGCACTGATGCTAAGCTGTGGGCAGCTCTTCCTGCCAGCACTCGCCCCTCCCTGGCTGTGCCGGCTGCCTGTTCAGGTAGAGTGTGGAGCCTGGAGTCGGGTCTGCTGGTGGAGCTGCCCCCAGGCGGGAGCCCGAGGCTGAGCCACACGGCCCTCCAGGCAGCCCCATGGCCTCGTGTCTGCCTGTGCCTCCGAGGGCGTTTCTGGGATGGTGTTGCAGGTTGGGGCCGCACTGGTTCAGCCTGTTTTGCTGTCCTGGTCTGAGGGGCAGATTGCCCTGAGCTTGGATAAAGCCTCATTTACCTTGTGCCTGAGGCGTGTTTTGTCTGGGCCCCAGCGTGGTTCTGGCAGCGCTGAGGAAGGGACCCAGGTCTTTGTTCGTGCTAGGTTCTAGTCACGCCCAACGTTTCCTGAAGATTTATATGTATATATACGTGTATGTATGGATGTGTATATATATACATTTTTTCTTTGTCTTTTTAAGACCAGGTCTTGCTATGCTGTTCAGGCTGGCCCTGAGCTTACTATGTAGCTCAGGTTGGTCTCAAACTCACAGGGATCCTCCTGTCTCAGCCTCCCAGGTGCTAGGATTATAGGTGTGCACCACCATGCTTGGTTTTTTTTTTTTTTTTTTTGGCGGAACCGGGGATTGAACTTAGGCCCTTACGCTTGCCAGGCAAGTACTTATTCTACTGAGCCATCTCCTCAGCCCCACCATGCTTGGTTTAGGGGGCCGGGGAGATGGCTTAGTAGAATAAGTGCTTACCCAGCAAGCGTAAGGGCCTGAGTTCAATCCCTGGTTCTGAAAAAAAAAAAAAAATTAAATTAAATTATATTTTGGGACAGGGTCTCACTCAGCTGTCCAGGCTGGCCGTAAGCTTGCGCCTCTCCCACCTCAGCCTCCCAAGGAGCTGGCATCTGGCTGTATTAGGCCAGCGTGCCTGGTTGCTGTGCCTTTTAGGACAGACCTCGGCAGGGCATGGTGCAGGGCAGCCTTAGTTTGTGAAAGCTGACCTCTATGAGAGGGGAGTGTAGAGTTTGAGGGCCGAGCTGGTGTGTGAGGAGGTGTGCGCCTGTCCTGGCACAAGCGAAAGCTGGCATAAGACTGCCACTGATGCCAGCCTCCAGAGCCATCGTGCCCAGCTGGAGTTGGGGTGGGGTCCACACTGACCAAACTGATACCCACCTTGTCCACTTCTTTCCTTTTTTCCTCCTTGGTACCAGAAATCAAACTCAGGGCCTCATGCTTGCCAGGCAGGCGATGCTGCTAAGCTGTAGCCCTAGTGCCCGCCTCCCTCCTGAGTCCTGACACATTTCTGCGTGAAACCACCCCGGTCTGGGCTCGCTGCTCATAAGCATTTCTCCCTTCCTTTGCCCAGCTGCCGCCACCTCCAGATGTTCCCCAACCCCTTTCCTCCCCGCCCATGTGAGTCAGCCCAACTCTGTGGCTATTGAGTGACCACCACCTGCGTACCCAGGCCTTGTTCTCTGGTCTGGACATACGGCTGTGGTTCCTGTCATGGTCAGTCACCACAGTCCACGTGCTGGCCAGGCCCTACCACGGGCCAGACTCCTCAGCAGTAGGACCTGGGCCTTGTCCTGAGAGCTGAGCAGCCCTGCGCTGTGGGGGCGCCATGCTGCACAAGCAGGGGTTGTGGGGACTGTGGGGACTGGGCTCTTGCCTCTGTCTGGGACTGTGGGGACTGGGCGAGGGCCTCTGTCTTCCATTGGAGGCTCTGTCCCGGATCTTAGGCTCCTTTCCCGGAGCCTGTTACCTGTCCCATTACCTCTGTCCCCTCCGTCTGGGCTCCCAGAGCCGAGGCCCAAGAGAGCGGAGCTGCCTGCAGGCTGCAGTGGAGGTGCCGAGGATCCCCATCCTTCTGCCCTTGCAAGTTTGTGTGGTGCTGCGGCCGCCAGGCCTGCCTGCTCACGCCCTCTCCTGTGTGTTGCAGAGGAAGATGGACAGCCGCGAGTACCCAGACGCACAGGGCTTCGCCGCTGACATCCGGTTAATGTTCTCGAACTGTTATAAGTACAATCCTCCTGACCACGAGGTGGTGGCCATGGCCAGGAAGCTCCAGGTAACCAGAGGCTGGGCATGGGTGCCATGAGGAGCCCAGGTTGGCATTGGAGTGGCGGGTGCCTAAACATGGAGTGGGTACCCATGAGGGCGGGACACGGGTGTCACTCCTGTGGCCTGTTGTCCCGGCGTGGTGGCGATGGGCTGCCAGGCTCAGAGCCAGTGCCCACACGTGCTGGTTACAGGCCTGTGTCTGCCCTGGCTCCTGGAGCTGCAGGTGACATGGGAGTGGCCTGTGGGCAGGCAGGGTCCGGTGACCGCCGGTCAGCCCTGGCAGCGAGAACCCTCTGTGCTGAGGCTAGTGCCCTTTCTCTCCTAACAGCAGCAGAAAGCTGCACTGGAGAAAGTGTGGGAAGTCTGGGCTGTGCTGGGGAAGGCAAGGCCTGTCACAGCCTGGCTGTCAGGCCTGGGCTGGGGATGCCCAGCCCCACAGGAGCATGCACGTGTGCCATGTTTGCTGCTGACGTCTCGTGCTGTGCACCGGTTCCGCTTTATTTACTTCTCAGGATAAGTGGGGCGGGGCATTTGCTCACACACATCAGAGGTTATGTGACCAAAAGACTGTCTTTTTTGGGGTCTGGGGAGATGGCTCAGTGGAATAAGCGCTTCCCTGGCAAGCGCAAGGACCTGAGTTCAATCCCTGGTTCCACAAAAAAAAAAAAAAAAAAAAAAAAGACTGTCTTTTTGGAGGAAAAAATAATCATGGGTTTTAGTGAGCATGGTGGCCTGCAGCTGAAGTCTCAGCACTGTGGGAGGCTGAGGCAGGAGAGTTGCAAGTTCAAACCTAGCCTGGACCAACCTAATGAATTAATAAAAAAAAAAAAGAAAGCGTCTCTCTGTGAGGGATGGAAAGGGGCCTGGGGAGTGTGTTGCTTGCCAGATTTGCTCCTCAAGGCTGTTGTATTGAGCAAAGCCAAAAGTACAGGTGCGTTAAAAGTGGGACAGAACTGGAGTCAGCTAATAAGATTACAAGTGTAGTTACTTGCCCAACGTGGTGATGCACACCTGTAATCCCAGCACTGGGAAGCTGAGGCAGGAGGATCATTGCGAGTTTGAGGCCAGCCTGGGCTGCAAAGTGAGTTCGAGGCCAGCCTGCGCTGCATAGTGAGGCCCTGTCTAATGTACAGTCACTTAGGTAATACCCATCCAATGGAAAGTCCCAAGGTGGGTTTGAGGCGGGAGGAGACTATGGGAACCAATAAGATTACAACAAGCCTAGTCACTTAGGTAATGTGGATTAAGTGGGGGTCAGGTGGGGAAGCAGGTCACGCAGCAAAGCCCGTGTGGGGCCGATGGGGACTTTCCTGGAAGGGGTGAGCTAAGAAGGCTTGAGCAGGACCCATCTTAGAAAATACACAAAAATAAGTAAGTAAAATTTTTTTTAAAGGGTTGGAGGTATAGTTCAGAGCAGAGACCTTGGGTTTAATCCCCAGTGGTGACAAAGCAACCCAGTGACAAAGTCCTCATCCTGTGACATATTGTTTGTTCCTTATTCCTTGCTCAGCCTTATTCTGTGGGCCCTGTTACACTGCACAAGCCATCGGCCCAAGTCATACGGGACAAAGACGAGGTCCTGCCAGCATGCTTGCGTCCTTCCTGAGTGTGGCCCCAGGAGGCCCTGCCCAGCGCTGTCAGGGAAAGGCCTAGGGCGCCCCCGTCTCCGTGAACTTCCCAGCGTGCTTGGCCTGAGTTAGAGCTGCTCAGCGTGGTCCCGCGCCCAGGCCTTCACACTGAGCTGTGTCCCCAGCCCATTACTTTTTAATGACAGGGCCTTGCCAGTACTAGTGGCTCAGGCTGGGCTTGAACTCAGATCCCCGTGCTGCATCTTCCTCGAGCGCTGGGGTCGCCCGTGTGCACTGCCATGCCCAACTTTGCCCCTGGCTTTCTGAAGTGTGCCATGGACGGCCCTCGACTGAAGCCCCGTCTGAGTAGCTTCCTAGGTCAAGACTGTGTGGGTCCGCGTCTCTGGCGGTCCTCGCCCCCAGAGCAGCATGAGCTGAACACCAGAGGGGGCTCTGGGCATTGCCTCCAGCCTGGTGGAGGGCTGTGGCATATGGGGCTGTCGTGGCCCCCTGGGAGTCATAGCCACGCCTGCATCTGCCATGCATCTGGGCGGCCGCAGGGCACAGGGGTGTCCCCAAGAGGGGCTTCTGGAGGAGCCTTGAGGGGGATCGAGCCTGGGCTTTGTGGGTGCTAGGAGAGCGCCCTGACGCCAAGCTGTACCCAAGTTCTGAGGTGTCTCAGGACAACTCACCTTTGAGCTGACTTCAGACTACCGGTGCAGGAGATGACACCCTGCCCTGGGAAGGCAGGTGGCCTTCAGAGCCTCGTGTGCAGGGTCCCTGTCAGAGATGCACTCCTGCCACACTGGGGCAGCGCCCTGTGGGCGTCCAGTCCTCAGGATGGCCCTTGTCCCTCCCCAGGATGTGTTCGAGATGAGGTTCGCCAAGATGCCAGATGAGCCCGTGGAGGCGCCCGTGCTGCCTGCGCCCGCAGCCCCGGTGGTGAGCAAGGGCACCGAGAGCAGCCGAAGCAGCGAGGAGAGCTCATCGGACTCGGGCAGCTCGGACTCAGAGGAGGAGCGTGCCACAAGGCTGGCTGAGCTGCAGGAGCAGGTGGGGCCTGCTGTGTGTCGGGAGCTGCACTGAGCCCAGAGACCCCTCTGGGCTTTCCAGCCCTCGACAGCCTCTGGCTGTGCATTTCTGGGGCTCAGGCAGGGAGGAGACGGAGACAGTCCCCAAGTCAGAAGAGCTGCAGGGGTGGATCGGGAAGTTGGCTTCCCGAGGGCTGAGCCTGAGTGACGTGGTCTCCAGGGTTGGCAGGACATTGGGGTGCAGCCGCAGCCCTGGCAGCACCCTCTGCGTGCACCTCCCAGAAAGTCTGGGGGCTGGAATGGGCTGGGCCATCGGCTGGCCCCATCACATGCTGGGCTTGTGCCTGACCCTGCCAGGAGGCAGTCACTGCAGTGAAGACCCGGCAGCATCCACCAGGAGCAGTCAGGTGCTGGGAAGAGGTGAGCTGCGCACCTGCTTGCTTTAGGCCCACGGCCTTGGCCTGCGGCCCCGAACATGGTCGGAGTCTCCCGGTGCAGGCACATGCATCTGTAGCTTCTTCCTTGTCAGAAGAGTGGCGACCAGCAGCAAAGACAGGGCCCCCTGTGCTGGCACCGCGTAGAGCCTGGCACCTGGGAAGGCATGCCCGCATGCCCAGCAGTGAGGGCACTGAGCTCAGAAGGTGAAGGGACTCAGGCACGTGGGGACAGAGCTGGCTGTGTGGAGTCCCTCTTCTCTCCAGGTCCCCACTGGCTCTGCACAGGGGCAGCAGCTACGGGTGCCTGGTGGGCCTTGCCTGGCACCTGCTCAGCCGCCCTCTCTCTTCCAGCTGAAGGCCGTGCATGAGCAGCTGGCCGCCCTGTCTCAGGCCCCAGTGAACAAACCAAAGAAGAAGAAGGAGAAGAAGGAGAAAGAGAAGAAGAAGAAGGACAAGGAGAAGGACAAGGAGAAGCACAAGGTCAAGTCTGAGGAGGACAAGAAGGCCAAGGCCACCCCAGCTGCCAAGCAGGCCCAGCAAAAGAAGGGCCCAGCCAAGAAAGCCAGCAGCACCACGGCAGCCAGCAGGTGGGTCTCACGTGGAGCCGAGTGGGACCTGGGCGTGCTGGCGAAGGGGCTGGTCGAGCGCCTCTCGCAGCATGTGCCCAGGACTTCTCCCATGGTGGTTGGTGTCTTCCAGGGCGAGCTTGAGCGCTGGCTGTCCTTTGGCCCCAAGCCTTGTGGCTCTGGCTTATCTGCTGCCCAGCTGTGGCCTGTCCTGAGGGGTGCAGGGGAGGGCGGTGGTGGGCCAGTGGCAGTCAGAGGATTCCCTCCTGCCAGAGAAGGTGGCAGCGACAGGGACGGAGTGCACGGCCCAAGGCCGTGGGCCCTTTGCTTTTGAGGTGGCTCTGGGGCTCTCAGGGCAGGTGGGGGGTGGGGGAGGGGGCGTGAGCAGTGGCTGCTATCTTCAGGTGGTGGCTGGGTGGCAGTGTCCTCTGGACAAGGGAAGGGAGCTATGGAGGGCGGGGTCGCAGGAGGCAGTGGTGGAAGAGAGGACGCCTCTCGGTGGCCAGTGTGGCCACTTGAGTGGAAGAGACCACTGTGGTGCCAGGCTTGGGCATGGGGGGACACGTGTGCTCCTGCGTTGGGTGTTGATGGCTGGGTGTGTGTTTCTGTCACTTCTTCTCTTTTTTCTTTTCCCCCCTCCCTTCCTCTCCTCTCCCATATCTCTCTCTTTTTTTTTTTTTTTTGTATTTTAGGGAAAGGTCCACCGGGTGTTCAGGGTCTTACTACTAGATCGGACTCGGAGTGATCTGCCTGTTTACAGCCTCCCGAGAGCTGGGATTACGGGTGCACGTCGCCATGCCCAGTTTTTTTTTTATCTTTTTGAAACAGGGTCTCACTATGTAGTCCATGCTGGTCTGGAACTTGTACTGGTCTTTGTGCCTCAGCCTCCCGAGTGCTGGGATTAGAGGCGTGCACCCTCACACCCTTCTCCCTTCTTTCCGTGGGAGAGGCAGGAGTCCCTCTCCTTACGCCTTTGTCCAGTTTGGATTGGCCTCTGGCGTGGCAGGATGCAGTATTCCAGAGCGGCTGCAGACGGCTGACCAGCACTTTGAGTGTGCCCTTCTGTGTTCTGAGGTGGACTTAGAGAGCTGGCATTGTGCAGCGCTTGGTAGAGTTAACCAGCAAACCTCCTGGGCCTGGAGTCTAAGTGTGGGCAGGGTGTGATCATGAACTCGTTGCTTTAACGATGCACGTTGCTGTCTTAGGAGACACCGAGCCCTCAGCTTCTGCGTGGGAGTTTGGGGCCGAGCCTGGTGCCGTGTGTTCTGAGTCATGCAGTTGTGGCTCTGTGTGTCCCTTGTTGGCCTGCGGGCACAGTGCTTTCTGTCCTTCCTGCTGTGGGGAGGTCATGTCTTATGTTTCTTTTATCAGATTTGATTGGTACATTTTATTTATTTATTTTTTTATGTATGTGATACAGGGTTTCACTACCCAGCTTGGATTCATAGCAATCTTCCTGTCTCAGCCTCCCAGTGCTGGGGTTATAGGCATGGGTCACCATGCCAGGTCTCGGTGGACAGCTCAGTGCTCCTGGTGGCAGGGCTGCTGGGGATCGAACCCTGGTCCCTGCGCTTGCCTAAGCAGGTGCTCAGTCCACTGAGAGGTCTCAGCGGCCCTGATCGACACGTTGTAGATATACGTGAAGACCACATTCGAGTCTAGGCGTGGGGCGCGCACCGGTAGTCCCAGCTCGGGGGAGGCTGACCACGGGAGCGAGCCAACTGCGCAGCGAGACCCCGTACCAAATACATAAAAGAAAAAAAGCCCGCGTTCGTGAAGCACAGGGAGTCTGCGCCTCACTGTGACGCGACTTGGTTCCTTGCTTCTGGCCCTGCCCTCCTGGCAGTCCCTAGTCTGTCTGCTGGCGAGACACGTGGAGATGTATCGATTCCTCAGAGCGGCAGCACTGCAAGCGCGCGTCCTTGCCTTTTCTGTTTCCTGTGTTTGTGCCCTCACCTTGCACTGCCCTTTCGGTTCCGAGGCAGAAGCCTGGTTACTGCCTGGCCCCAAGTGCACCCACGCAGCACCCTGGCTTCATCGCGTTCCTTCCATTGGGCTGTCCTGTAATCTGTTTTCAGACTTGTCCCCTTCTGACCAAAGGGGTTATTTGAAATCGTGTTGTCAAATTTCCAAGGCCTTGGGGTTTTTTCAGCTATGCTTTACCTATTGATTTCTAACCTGGTTCCAGCAGGGCCAGAGACTGCGCTTTGTGAGGTTCTGGCAATCTGCGTCTTCTGGCCTAAAAGGTGACCTTGTGGAGCATCCCTTGCGCTCACAGTGTATTCTGTGGCCGGTGTGGCGAGAACCCCAGCAGTGACTGGCTGAGGCAGGAGCAGCCCACCCTCAGGGCCCAGCTGACAGGGAGGCCTCAGTCCCCAGTTAAAGCACAGAGGCTGGAGGTGGAGTGCCCTGGGGCCTGGGCTCTGCCAACAGTGGAGCAGCATGTTGTGCTGTCTTGGGCTGGGGCGGGCTGCATAAGCATCACTAGAGTCGCATCAGTGGATTAAGTTGGCTGAGCCGCTGTCGGGCTTCCTCTGTCCTGCCAGGTACCTGTCCTCTTACCTGCCAAGCAAGCTCCTAGAGGCTCGGGGCATGGGCGGGCTTCATTGCCTTCTCTTTAGTTCTGTCAGTGTTTGCCTCCTGTGTTTCGAAGCTGGGCCCAGCTGTGGCCGCCCGTGGCCTCCCCATTGTTGCCTGCCCTCTCTCCCCATATTCCCCGTGTTTTCCTGCCACTCCCCTCCTTGGAGGTCGACTGGGCATCTCTGTGGCCATGCCAGCCTTCTCTGATGGGTGTGGTGAGGTGTGTCCACACCGTGTCCCTTTGCCCTGCCTCCTTCACTGTGCAGAGTGGGACTGCAAGCTGTGTGGCTTCTGCCTCGGTGTTTTCCAGCTTCTGGTTTGGCCCTCTCTCCCTTGTCTGGTGAGCGTGCGGTTTGTGTTCAGTGGCTACGTAGACGCACGTGGTGCCCATGTGCCCTTGCATGATTTTCTGTGTGTTTTTGCTCCTCTTCACTCTCTTCTTCCTCCTCTTGGGTTATAGGAGTGTGAAAATCTTTGAGCAGTTGAGTTGGGCGTCCCCTGAGGCCCTGAGGGGAGCCGACCTCTTGGGGGTCCTGACCAGAATGGGACTGGCAGGGAGCAGCCTTTCTCACCAGAGCAGGGTCTCCCGAGCAGCCAAGGTTAGCCGGACCTGGGTAGGCCACAGCAGGTGGCGCCACGCTGCTCTGTCCTCTCCACAGACAACTGAAGAAGGGTGGCAAGCCAGCGTCGGCCTCCTACGACTCAGAAGAGGAGGAGCAGGGCCTGCCCATGAGCTACGACGAGAAGCGGCAGCTCAGCCTGGACATCAACCGGCTGCCGGGGGAGAAGCTGGGCCGTGTGGTGCACATCATCCAGTCCCGGGAGCCATCGCTGCGTGACTCCAACCCCGACGAGATCGAGATCGACTTCGAGACCCTGAAGCCCACCACTCTGCGGGAGCTGGAGCGCTACGTGAAGTCATGCCTACAGAAGAAGCAGCGGAAGCCCCTCTGTGAGTGCCACTCCCCAGGCCCCCGTGTCCTGGGGCCATGTGGGTGCTTTGGCCCCATGGCCTCTTTGAGGGTCCCTTGCACATGCCCACGGGGGGACCCTGGGCTGCAGTCAGGAGCCCACAGACCTCAGGACAGACCCTGCACCTGCTCTGGTGTTCCAGAAGCCAGTGGCATTGCCTAGCAGAAGCTAGTCCCTGCCTGGGGCTGCAGCACCGGGGCCTGGGTGGGAGGTGTCCTGAGGAGCCCCTGCCCTGTCCCTGCCCACCCAGCAGTGGACAGCCTCCTTTCCCGGGGTGGCAAGGCCCCATACCTGTGCGCCCCTGCACATCACTAGAGCGATCGGAGGCTGCAGACCGGGCTCCCGCTGCCTCTACCCGTAGGCAGCACAGGCCGCGGCTGGGGGAGAACCGCGGCACTGCACCCCGGCCCTGGCACAGGGAGGTCTCGCACGCTTCTTGACGTTTTTGTAGTTGGCGCTTGCAGCACGTGCCGTTCGCAGTCCTGTGCAGACCTGGTGCACACAGCATACCTCCTCTCCCGTTGGCACCCCGTCTCTCCCTCCTTCCAGCCCTTCCATCTGCGGCGCGCCTGTCTCCCTGGCTGTCCTGTGTTCTTTTTCTCCCCTTACTCGTCCTTTGGCTCCTCCTGTAAGAGAAAGCCTGCGAGGCCTGGGCCTGTGTGTCCCCTTGCTTTTTCTTGGGATCTCAAGTCTCGGTGCGTCCATTGTCCTGTAAAGACTCGGGTTTATGCTCCGCGTTCTGTAAATCGCGCATTTACCCGCCCCACTCACTGGGGGCGGTCGTGAGCTGTGCTGCCCTGATAGGCTGTCTCACTGTTGGAGGCTCCTGCTCGTGGCAAGGGCCCAGGAGCTGCTGTGCTGCTGCGTTGGTCTGGCCGGGAGACCAGGCAGCAGCTGGCAGGCGGGGCAGGGTGTGCCTGCCACCCGACAGCCCTGCTGCATGTCCCCACTGCAGCAAGCGGGAAGAAGCAGGCGGCCAAGTCCAAGGAGGAGCTGGCTCAGGAAAAGAAGAAGGAGCTGGAGAAGCGGCTACAGGATGTGAGCGGGCAGCTGAACAGCAAGAAGGCTCCCAAGAAAGGTACCCAGGATGCATGCCATGTCCATGGGGTGGCGGTCCCCGCCTGAGGGCGTGGGGTCAGGACTGGCGCTGTCTCCTTAGTCAAGGGTCTGAGGTTCCTGTAGGCTGCTTTCTCCAACTAGGAGCCAGGGCACGTCGGAGGCAGACGTGCCCACGCTGCCGCCTCCCGGCCTGTGAGCCTGCTCTGGCCTTGCACACCTGGGTGAGCATTGCTTGACCCACACCTCTGTTCCTGGAGGAGGAGCAGTGTTGCCTCCCTGGTGCCTCCAGAGTAGCCTGCTGGCTCGGGTATGGATCCGCAGTGCCCTCTGGCTGCCCTGGCCTCGTGTGGCGTAAGCTCACACTCCTTAATTTTGTTTTTGAAAGGGCCAGCGAGATAGCTCAGCAGACTAAATCACCTGCTTAGGCAAGCAGCGTTGGATCCCCATACCACATGCCCCGCCCGCCCCGCCTCTGGGCATGCTGAGCTGGCCACCAAGAGCGGGTGTGGTGGCACATGCTGGAATCCAGCGCTGGGGAGCCTAAAAACATGAGGATCACTGTGAGCCCAAGCTGCGTAATGAGACCCTGTACCAAAGACATAAATTTAAAATTAAAAAAATTTTTTTGAGACAAGGCCTCTTGTTAAGTTGCCCGGGCTGGGCCTTAACATAGGAAAGGCCTTCTGCCTCAGTCTCGCAGTGTGCCCACTGTGCTGGCCGGGCAGACTAAACTGGCTGCCTCCCGGGAAGGGAGGTGCTTAGCCTGTCTCGGGGACCTCATTAAGCCATCGCTTGCCGAGCTGCCAGGTCAGGCCCAAAGTGCAGCGTGCTGGAAGCGCATAGCCCAGCCAGCGAGCAGAGAGCAAGCGAATGGCTGGTGAGCTCCTGTCTGCCCTGTGTCTCCACAGAGAAGACCGGCGCGGCGCCCTCTGGGGGGCCATCGCGGCTCAGCAGCAGCAGTTCTTCAGAGTCAGGCAGCAGCAGTTCTAGCGGGTCCAGCTCCGACAGCAGTGACTCCGAGTGACCCGAGGGTGCAGCTGGACAGACGGACATGGCTCATGCCAAGGCTCTGCGTGTCCCCTCCTGTGGTCAATATACTCCTTTCGTTCCATGGTGTGCAGGTTTCCTTTACTTCAGTGTTACGGTATCGCCGGTTGTGCTCCACGAGGTCACAGTCTGCCCTTCCTGCTGCCTGCTGCACACGGTCACGCACGCAGTCACGTCCTCGGAGCCACAGCCACACTGATACCAGAGGAGGCCACAGGGTACAGCCCAGGACCTACAGCAGCGCCCGCTGCCCGGCCTGCCCACCCCACATCAGGAGCAGCTCCTGAGATGGGAGCCCTGCGCCGCGGCCGCCCACCGTGCCAGCAGGTGGTCTCTGTAGCCCGGGTCACTCGCCCTTGGGCACTGGGTGGGGCTGAGCAGAGCGACAGAGAGGTGCTCAGGGGCCAAGGGAGGGGCTGCGGCCATGAAAGAGCACAGCCTCTGTGCCTGGCGAGCAGGTTTCCGAACACTGAAACTTTTACCTCAACTTAAAAAAAAAAAAAAAAAAGTTAAAGAAACATAAAAGGAGACTTTTTTAAAAAAAAAGTTCAGCGATTTTCTACAGAGGTCCAGCCCAGTGTGTCTGCCCCACTTGCGCTGCCCAGCTGCTGCCGCACACCCTGGAATAACTCCCCCAGTTTTATGTATATATAAATACTTTATTTATTAACATCATCGGTCAATTTTTTTAAAAAAAGAAGAAAAAAGTGAAGAAAAACACAAAACTGTCAAAGAAGTGCATTAACCACAGTGGTGGTGCTGGCCCGGGCCGCAGGAGCCCCGGTGGCCGTGCCCTCGATCGGCCGGCGCTCTTCCCTCCTGCTTTTCCTGGGCTCGCTTGGTGGCTTTGGGTGTGGCTTTTTGGTTTCAGTTTTTTATGTTCCTGGTTGTTGGCTTTTGTTGGTATAAACTTTGGAGACGTACAAGTACAGACGCGCTCCAGCTCCAGCACATTCTGATTTCTTACGTTGTTGGTTTTCTTGTACCCACACCGGGTCTCTTGAGGACTGTTTTAAAGAAATCAACGTAGGGAACCCCGTTCTATTACACAGGCTTTGCATTGTGAGAGAAAAGTGTATAGGAAATCCGTCTTGATTTCTTTTTTTAACTTTGTATTGTAAAATAATAATAATATACGAGAGTTTAACAGAAGGTTCTGTTTGGGTTTGCAGTTTTCTGGGGCTGCCCCATGTTGGCCTCGGAGTGGAGCCCCGCGCCCCAACCGGGGCTCTGGGTGCCCGACCTGGGGCCGCGGGGGACTCCCGCAGCGCTCGGTGGCCTTTGGCCTGGGCGGCCTTTTGACCGCCGGCTGTGGAGGTGGCTGCACCTTCGGGAGGGGACAGGGACAGGTCAGCGGGCTCCCCGTCAGGGCGCAGCGCTAAGACCAGACTGCGGGTTCAGACTGCGAGGGTGGGTGGGTGGCGGCCGCCAGCGCTTAGTTGCGGGCAGTTCTGACGCTTGGGAGCTTTTGAGTTTTCAGCCATTTGTTAAAGCTTTTAAGTCAGTTTTGTTTATGATAAAAATATAAATGGATTTTAAAGTTCCATTTTTTAAAGTTACCCTTGTTTTTCAAAGGTATTTTTTAACAGATTTTAATAGAATATTTAAACTGTGACCTTAAGGAATTAACACGACAAAATTGGCAGGTCTTCACTGGGTGTCTGGGTGCGGCGTGGCCGAGCCAGGGCGCCTGGGGGAGGGGCAGGGCGGGAGGTGTGGCCAGCCCACGAGGCAGCTGTCGCCTGCGCGAGGGTCGCCGCCGCCGAGGGCTGCGGTCCTGCTGCGCAGCTGTGGTTTATTGGTGCTGTAACCCTGAGGCTTCCTGTCCAGACCTCAAAGCTGTTCTCGGGGTTCTGGGGGGTCCCTGGCTCCCCTGACACCCGCAGTGGCTGCTTCCTGTTGTCCCCGTCAGACCTTCGTGGTGGAGCCTTTCTGGGGAGGGACAGGTTCAGTGGCAGCGGCCGCGAGGACGGGCCGGGCCGGAGACCCTTCCGGGAGGAGGGCTTCGGGCAGCCTGCAGGTGCTGGGGAGGCCCAGAGCGCGCCCGCAGCGCGCGAGCTTGCTGCCAACTGTGAGACGCTGCCCTCTGTGTTCGTTTTGGTTGTGTTCTTTTGCAGCCGTCACGCCTTTTAAATCATTTGGGAAGGAAAAATGCCCATGTCCAGAATTGTCACATCAAGTTTTCTCTCTGTCCCCTAATACTGGCATAACACTTCCAGGAGGTTTTTCTTTTTTATATTTAAAAATGTTACTTTTCTGTATGATGTGCATGCAAGTTTGCCGTAATTTTTCTTAACACTTTTTAGTGCCGTTTCGAGTATATTCCTGTAAATGTCAGTTACTGAAAATAAGTCCAATGTAAGTAGTTTTAGCTTGTTTATTGCAATGCTGGCCTCAACACCACAGAATAAAAATGGTAGAGAGTACTCTTTTGATGTTTCTGGTAATCGTGGACCCTTCTCCCGGGGCATTTGTTTTGTTTTCATAATAAAAGGAAAAAGAAAACACACGTGTGTGGCTGAGCTTTCCTTGGTGGCCCAGTCTCCTGGGATGCGGGGCGGGTGGCCCAAGGCCTCATGCAGAAAGTACCTGCCTCTTTCATTCTGTCCTTGGTGTGCCCCCCCACCCCATTCTTGCGGCATGGGCCAGCGGGTACTGCACTGTGCCCTCCTGCCTCCCCTCACACGGGGATGATCCCCTGTGACGCAGGCTCCTGGCACTGGGCCCGCCCCACTGCCCACAAGCAATCTGAAACAAGGGCTGGGTCTTTCTGCTGCAGCCCACCACACTCGGTACATGACCTGGGCGTGACCAAGGCTCAGTGGGAAAGTGTGGGGCGAAACATCCGAGGGTCTTAACTCACTTTTCAAAACAGGCTCACTGTTGGTGCCAGGCCTGAGAGTTTGAGCTGGATCCCAGCCAGGCCTGAGGGCACATCCGCCCTACCTGGGCTCACAGTGTCACTGGCCTGTCCCTGTGGGCAGATGGTGCCTTGCAGGCTAAGCAGCTTAGCATCAGCTTTCCTGTGCAGGCCGCAGTGCCCAGAACCTGCATGCACTGGCAGTGCAGAGACTAGCCTGGCCAGCAAGCACACATCCCAGGGCTGCACGTGACCTCTGACCCCATCTCCATGTGCAGGTGCTGGTGAACCTGCATGCTGACCATGTGTATGCTGACCTGACCCTGATTACCCTGCTTGTTGGTGCCACCAGCAGGTCTGTGAAGACCTGCTTTCCTCCTAAGACTGACAGGGCCAGGGAGATAGCTCAGTAGAATAAGCGCAAGGACCTGAGTTCAATCCCTGGTTCTGCTAAGACTGACAGAAGTACCCAGTGACCCTAGAATAATCTGCGTCGCTATGGCATCTTGGTCAGACAAGTTGCCCTTACATATGAGATGGGTCCTGCAGCCTGGGGTGCCTTGGGCCGGCCGAAGGGACTCAGCTCCAAGGAGGCTGTCACTGAACAGGGCACACGCTGGACTCTGAGCCTTTGAGAGATGGAAGTCTGGTGTAAGGAGAGCCACACCCAGGGACCACAGCTACGCTCAGGACAAGCTGGGCACCGTCTCTGCCCACCAGGCGCTCCTGGGGAGCTACCAAGCGGACAAGGCAGGAAGATGCCACCAGGATCCTGCAACTATGGCCACACCCTGCCGGGCAGAGGATGTGCACATGGCTCCGAGAGGGCATTTAGCGCTGCTGCTCCATGTACTTGCATTGCTGTATTCAGTGGGGCGGTACCTCTGGCACTCGGGTTTTACTAAGAACCTGAAAGTCCAGCCAGAGCTGAGCAGGATAAATGACAGCATGAAAAAGGGAATCAGTCTTAGAAGATATTTATTTAGAAAAGCAAACAGCTTTGACAAAACTCCATACCCACATCACCAGTGGATTTGAGCTACAGCAGAGGGCAAAGCTTCTGGAATGGCCCGGAAGAGGGCCACACAGGTGGGCGCTGGCCGCCTGGACGCGTCAAGGCAGTAGGCTCACGCCCACATGACGGGCAGCTCCAGCCTGGGCTGGGGGCGAGCTCTGCTGGCCAGCGGAACCCTCCTCGAAGCGCCTGACTCAGCTTGGAATCCCCGCAGGCAGCTCTCCGAGCTGAGGCGTGGTAGCTCTCCTGTGGCACCCACTTGCCTGCGAGCCCCAGTGGCACCATGGGGAAGCCACCACCAGGCAGCACAGGTTGTGCGACGCCCCCTCTGCAGCCACCTCGGCTGCTTGGGTTGTGAGCCGAGGGAGCCGAGACCTCGAGACTGCCAGTGCCCTCCCTCTCCTGGATGCCACCCACTCTTCCCCAGGCAGGAGCTTGAACTCAGAGCGGTGGGCTGCTGTGGGCGGGACTCCTCTTGCCTGAGACGCTTGGAAACGCGGGCTGTGCTGGGCAGGCCCCCGGAAGCTGCTGCAAAGCAAGCCCTAGGGTGCTGCTGGGCACCGGGGCGTCTTGGGGTCTTCCTGGCCGCCCACTAAGAACTAGGAAGCCACGTGACAACTGGGAGGTAGGAAAGGCCCGATTCCTCAGGGCTTGGCGCTGGGGCCCGGGTTTAATCACATAATCGTGCAGATTTTGGACTGACCCGTGTCCCGGCAGACCTCAAGCTTGTTTCTGTCCCGGACTAAGATGGCTTCATTGCCGTACTGCGAGTACCACATGCTCCGGCTCCTGCTCAGGTAGGTCCCGGGGGGCGCCGACTCCAGCCTCTGCTGCTGCTGCCGCCAGATGAGCAGGGACGCGTCGCGGTAGCGCAGGCGGGCGTGGCCCTCCGACAGCGCCTTCTCCGCCAGCGGGGCGCGGCCGCCCATGCCCGCGCCGGGCTCTTCCTGGCCGGCTCTTCAGGCCGAGGGCTGCCCGCTTAGGGAGACGTCAGGCCCGCCCGAGTCTGCGGAGCGCGTCCCCCGCTGAGACCGCCGGCCCGCCCGAGCGCGCGGGAGCCTCCTCGGGGCCGCGCGGAGCGGCATGCACCG